TTAGGTGTGACGGGGTTTTTTTCCATATGTGGGTTGGCAGTGATCTCAAACTCCTGACCCGTGATCCGCCCGCCCTGCCTCCAAGTCCTGGGTTACAGGGTGAGCCACTGCACCGGTCTGTCCCACTGTTTTAACTGGTATGCTAGGATTATGGTCCAAGTATAAAGGAATTAAGCTCCTTTTTTTTTCATTAATCTTTGCTAATGATACTATTGTTACAAACTCCTTTCTGCCTTAGTTTCTCCATTTGTAAAAGATAAACTTGTATTTTACTGGGTAAAATGTAAGTACTTGGGGCTCTGACATAATCAGCTTCCACTAATTCAATTAATATTTATTTGTTGGCATTCAGTGTGCCAGGTCCAGTGCTGGAGAATCCAGAATTTTAAAAATTTAATAAACCAGTTTCTATTGGAAGAAATGAGAAAGTTTATGTTTAAAATTTCTAATGAAGGTCGGGCGCGGTGGCTCACGCCTGTAATCCTAGCACTTTGCGAGTCCGAGGCGGGCAGATCAGGAGGTCAGGAGATCGAGACCATCCTGGCTAACACGGTGAAACCCTGTCTCTACTAAAAATACAAAAAATTAGCCAGGTGTGGTGGCGGGCGCCTGTAGTCCCAACTACTCGGGAGGCTGAGGCAGGAGAATGGCGTGAACCTGGGAGGCGGAGCTTGCAGTGAGCCGAGATCGCACCACTGCACTCCAGCCTGGGCGACAAAGCGAGACTCTGTCTCAAAAAAAAAAAAAAAGAAATCCTAATGAAAAATGCTGTGATGTAGAGACATGCAGAAGAAAGTATAAAGAGAGGACATCTAAGCTGGGGATGAAGGGCCACTGGGATAGAAGAGGAATGTTGGCTGACAGGAGCTGGTTTTTAAAGCATGAGAGGTGTTTCAGACAGAGGGCTCTACAAGAATAAACAGAGCCTCAGAGGAACATTCGAGGGACTCTACCTCTAGTTGGGTTGGAATGAAACGTGGGTATAAGAGTGTGGACCAGCCGGGCGTGGTGGCTCACACCTGTAATCCCAGCACTTTGGGAGGCTGAGGTAGGCAGATCACAAGGTCAGGAGTTTGAGACCAGCCTGACCAGCATGGTGAAACCCCGTCTCTACTGAAAATACAAAAATTAGCCAGGCGTGGTGGCATGTACCTGTAATCTCAGCTACTCAGGAGGCTGAGGCAGGAGAATCAGTTGAACCTGGGAGGCAGAGGTTGCAGTGAGCCGAGATCACGCCACTGCACTCCAGCCTGGGTGACAGAGTGAGACTCCGTCTCAAGAAAAAAAAGAATGTGGACCAATGAAACTGAGGATATAGGTATGAGATGCATGTTTTAACTTGATGCTAGACTTTCATAGAGTAAATGAAATTTAATAAAAGTTTAAACATGTCTGTGATCTACTCCAGTGTGCTTTCCTAATTCTTCTTTGGTTTAGCAATAACAAAATGAAAATTTATAGGACTGAAAAAATATAAATATAAGCCTATTAAAAAAACATATCATCACACTGGTCCATTTATGATGCTTAACATGCATTTTCTCTATTTTGCCAAATAATATCTTCTATAATCTGGGTTCTCCAATAGCCATTAAAGTAGATTATAGCAAATCTTAATCAACAAAATATACTAAAAGAATGTAGATTTTGCTAGAATTCCTAAAAAGGATTTAGAAAAGTCTGTAGGCAAAAACTAATTTGAAGGAATTTGAAAGCCTTTGCTGACACAGCAAAAAGAAAATACCTTCAGGGTTTGATTGATAGGATTTTCTTTTTTCTTTTTTCCCTTCTCCAAGTTATTGGTAGAGAAATAGTATTTTAATACTTGTTTTTCTTTGACTTAAAGAATATGGAAGATGTCAGAATCTTGTATTACTCTATAGTGAACAAATGAGACCCTTCTCTAAAAGACTAGGTTAAATTATCTTTTAACCACATTTACCTAAGTGAAACACTCCATAAGCCATATTTTATTAAGATTTTATATAATTTGAAATTTTTTACGTCACCTGCTTTGACCTGTCAGTTTGCAAAAAAACTGTCGTTATAGTTTACTGATTTTCAGGAAAGTTTTAGATAATACAATTTTAGATCATCAGGTAATTTATGTAACTACCACTCAGAAAAGAGATTTTTGGTGTTAAGTATATTTACTCCCTTGTTTGCATTTCTTGTTCCAATTTAGTTAATTTAATTAGATGAAAATTCACAATAAAAAGTAGGTGAAGGTGCCAAATTAAAGGAATAATACTACATATAAAATTTCTGTGATAGTTGCTAATGGTACCAGTACTTGATTTCAAGTTTCTCTGAAATATCATCTTAGTTTTGTTTTTGAATTATTATTATTTAACAAGTCCCTTACTGGTGAATATTTGTGTTATTTTCCCTTTTTTTTTTTTTGAGATGGAGTTTCACTCTTGTTGCCCAGGCTGGAGTGCAATGGCACGATCTCAGCTCACCACAACCTCCGCCTCCCGGGTTCAAGCGACTCTCCTGCCTCAGCCTCCTGAGTAGCTGGGATTACAGGCGCCCGCTAATACACCTGGCTAATTTTTGGTATTTTTAGTAGATATGAGGTTTCTCCATGTTGGTCAGGCTGGTCTCGAACTCCCGACCTCAGGTAATCCACCCGCCTCGGCCTCCCAAAGTGCTGGGATTACAGGCGTGAGCCACTGAGCCTGGTCTCCATTTTTTATTATTACTAGAATCACCATATTTCCTGGCTTGTCTGGAACAGTATGAAACATGTTCTTATATTTATAGCAAAATTAGGCCAGGCGCGGTGGCTCACGCCTGTAACCTCAGCATTTTGGGAGGCTGAGGTGGGCAGATCACCTGAGGTCAGGAGTTCGAGACCAGCCTGGCCAACATGGTGAAACTCCGTCCCTTCTAAAAATACAAAAAATTAGCCAGACGTGGTGTCACACACCTGTAATTCCAGCTACTCGGGAGATTGAGGCAGGATAATTGCTTGAACGCCGGGGGGCAGAGGTTGCAGTGAGCCAAGATCACGCCACTGCACTCCAGCTGGGCGACAGAGCGAGACTCCATCTTAAAAAAAAAAAACAGAAAACCAAAAACCAAAAACTGCTTAAGGAACTCTAGAATCACAATATTTAACACAATTATTATAATTTAATATAGAAGCACAAGCAGGGAAAAAAATATGTCACCAAAGTTTTCAAGTAGTCAACTCATTATTGGAGCCATTTTATTTTATTTATTCAGCTGGTTCAGAATTCAAAAGGGCATATAATGAAGTTGCTATCCTGCTTCTGTTTCCCAGCTATCCAGTTTCCCTCCCTGGAGGCAAACAGTGTCATTGTTTTTTTGTTGTTGTTGTTTGGCTTTTTTTTTGTTTTTGTTTTTCTTTTTTTGAGACGGAGTCTCGCTCTGTCGCCCAGGCTGGAGTGCAGTGGCGCGATCTCGGCTCGCTGCAAGCTCCGCCTCCCGGGTTCACGCCAGTCTCCTGCCTCAGCCTCCCAAGTGGCTGGGACTACAGGCGCCCGCCACCACGCCTGGCTAATTTTTTGTATTTTTGGGGTTTCACTGTGTTAGCCAGGATGATCTCGATCTCCTGACCTCGTGATCCACCTGCCTCAGCCTCCCAAAGTGCTGGGATTACAGGCATGAGCCACTGCACCCAGCCTGTTTTCCTTATTTCTTTATTATTTTGTGTTCATCTGTAAAGGAGGATTTTCTTCATCAATTACTTGGTTATTCTGAGAAACAATTCATATAGAAAAGGCAGGCTATATATTCAACTTGTTTTCCTTTATTTACTAGTTTTAGGGATAGTAAATTGATTATGTAATATTCTCTTAAAGACGATCAATTAGGGCTTTGAAAAATTATTATGAACTTGTGGATTTTATTAAATTTGGCATATTTACATTCTTTGTAGTTACTCTTTTTGATGCTCAAACTGTACCATCTTTGGACAATAGCAACCCACTGAAGTTGATTCTTTTTAAATATTATTCATTTAATTTTTCACTTTTTTCAATAGAGACTGTGTTTCCCAGGCTGGTCTTGAACTCTTGGTCTCAAGCAGACCTCCTGCCTCTGCCTCGTAAAGTGCTAGGATTACACGTGTGAGCCCCCATGCCCGGCTTCTAAAGTTGATTCTTGAATCCTTTTGACATAACCCCAGTAGTCTTTGATAGCTTTCTTGCTTACTGCTGTGAAGATGCCTTGTATGTACTGTCTCTTCTTATTGTTGCCAATTGTATCTTTCGGATCTATTCCTACAAGTGGGACTGTTGGGTTGAAGAGTAAATACACATATAATTTTGGTAGATAGTGTGAAAGGCATTATTTTATTTTGTCTTTCCACAAGCAATATATGAAAGTGCCCTCCCTACCTTTTTTTTTTTTTTTGGTAGAGACAGGGTTTTGCTCTGTCGCTTATGCTGGAGTGCAGGGGTATGATCTTGGCTCACTGCAGCCTCAAGCTATCCTCCCACCTTACCCTTCTGGGTAGCTAGGACTAAGGCATATGCCACTGTGCCTGGCTTATTTAAAAACCTTTTTTTTTTTTTTTAGAGATGGAGTGTTGCTATGTTGCCCAAGCTTGAAAGTACCTTTTAACCCACAGTCTCACCAACAGTTTGTTGTAAGCTTCTGGACTTTTTGCCAGTCTGGCAGGTGAGAAATGGTATCTCCGGGTAGTTTTGTTTGTTTGTTTGTTTGTTTTTGTTTGTTTGTTTTTTGAGACGGAGTCTTTGCTCTGTCACCCAGGCTGGAGTGAAGTGGCAGGATCTCAGTCCACTGCAAACTCCGCTTCCCGGGTTCACGCCATTCTCCTGCCTCAGCCTCCCGAGTAGCTGGGACTACAGGCGCCCGCCACCACACCTGGCTAATTTTTTTGTATTTTTTAATAGAGATGGGGTTTCACCGTGTTAGCCAGGATGGTCTCGATCTCCTGACCTCGTGATCCGCCCGCCTCGGCCTCCCAGAAGTGCTGGGATTACAGGCGTGAGCCACCATGCCCGGCCTACTCCATGTAGTTTTAATGTGAGCATATTTTTATGTTCAAAATCACATTTTAATAAGTTGATGATAGCAAACCTGCATTGACATTTAAAGAAGGCAGGCCAAGCATGGTGGCTCATGTTTGTAATCCCAGCACTTTGTAAGGCCAAGGCGGGAGAATCACTTGGGTGCAGAAGTTTGAGACCAGCCTGGACAACATAGTGAGACCCCATCTCTATAAAAATTTTTAGCCCTCACTCGCCAGTGACGACCTGTCTCGCTGTGCGCACGCCCTGCCACCGCCCCGCAGAAATGCTTTGGTTACCTACAGTCTTTCGCCAGATGAGACCAGTGTCCAGGGTACTGACTCCTCATCTCACTCGGGCTTATGCCAAAGATGTAAAATTTGGTGCAGATGCCCGAGCCTTAATGCTTCAAGGTGCAGACCTTTTAGCCGATGCTGTAGCCGTTACAATGGGGCCAAAGGGAAGAACAGTGATTATTGAGCAGAGCTGGGTAAGTCCCAGAGTAACAAAAGATGGTGTGACGGTTGCAAAGTCAATTGACTTAAAGGATAAATATAAAAACATTGGAGCTAAACTTGTTCAAGATGTTGCCAATAACACAGATGAAGAGGCTGGGGATGGCACTACCACTGCTACTGTACTGGCATGCTCTATAGCCAAGGAGGGCTTCAAGAAGATTAGCAAAGGTGCTAATCTAGTGGAAATCAGGAGAGGTGTGATGTTAGCTGTTGATGCTGTAATTGTTGAACTTAAAAAGCAGTCTAAACCTGTGACGACCCCTGAAGAAATTGCACAGATTGCTACGATTTCTGCAAACGGAGACAAATAAATTGGCAATATAATCTCTGATGCAATGAAAAAGGCTGGAAGAAAGGGTGTCATCACAGTAAAGGATGGAAAAACATTGAATGATGAATTATAGATTATTGAAGGTATGAAGTTTGATCGAGGCTATCTTTCTCCATACTTTATTAATACATCAAAAGGTCAGAAATGTGAATTCCAGGATGCCTATGTTCTGTTGAGTGAAAAGAAAATTTCTAGTGTCCAGTCCATTGTACCTGCTCTTGAAATTGCCACTTTTCACCGTAAGCCTTTGGTCATAATTGCTGAAGACATTAATGGAAAAGCTCTAAGTATACTCGTCTTGAATAAGCTAAAGGTTGGTCTTCAGGTTGTGGCAATCAAGACTCCAGGGTTTGGTGACAATAGAAAGAACCAGCTTAAAGGTATGGCTATTGCTACTGGTGGTGCAGTGTTTAGAGAAGAGGAGCTGACCGTAAATCTTGAAGACATTCAGCCTCATGACTTAGGAAACGTTGGAGAGGTCATTGTGACCAAAGACGATGCCATGCTCTTAAAAGGAAAAGGTGACAAAGCTCAAACTGAAAAAAATGTATTCAAGAAACCATTGAGCAGTTAGATGTCACAACTAGTGAATATGAAAAGGAAAAAACTGAATGAACGGCTGGCAAAACTTTCAGATGGAGTAACTGTGCTGAAGGTCGGTGGGACAAATGATGTTGAAGTGAATGAAAAGAAAGACAGAGTTCAGATGCCCTTAATGCTACAAGAGCTGCTGTTGAAGAAGGCATTGTATTGGGAGGAGGTTGTGCCCTGCTTCAATGCATTCCAGCCTTGGACTCATTGACTCCAGCTGATGAAGATCAAAAAATTGGTATAGAAATTATTAAAAGAACACTCAAAATTCCAGCAATGACCATTGCTAAGAATGCAGGTGTTGAAGGATCTTTGATAGTTGAGAAAATTACGCAAAGTTCCTCAGAAGTTGGTTATATGCTATGGTTGGAGATTTTGTGAATATGGTGGAAAAAGGAATTATTGACCCAACAAAGGCTGTGAGAACTGCTTTACTGGATGCTGCTGGTGTGGCCTCTCTGTTAACTACAGCAGAAGTTGTAGTCACAGAAATTCCTAAAGAAGAGAAGGACCATGGAACGGGTGCAATGGGTGGAATGGGAGGTGGTATGGGAGGTGGCATGTTCTAACTCTTAGACTAGTGCTTTACCTTTATTAATGAACTGTGACAGGAAACCCAAGGCAGTATTCCTCACCAGTAACTTCAGAGAAGTCAGTTGGAGAAAATGAAGAAAAAGGCTGGCTGAAAATCACTATAACCATCAGTTACTGGTTTCAGTTGACAAAATATATAATAGTTTACTGCTGTCATTGTCCATGCCTCCAGATTATTTATTTTTATTTTTATTTTTCACAATACACAGTCCTTGTATTTAGGTACATTATGAGACACACTTACTTTTTCTCTACATTTAGCACATCAGCATAGAAATGTGATGAATTAATCTCCTAGTGATATAAAGTAAGAAGTAATGCACTGCAATAAAATATCACATGTGACAGGACACCAAGTGGGGTTTTGTTAGGAGGTGGGGAGGAGAATGGTACAAAGCTGAATCAGGCAAGGTCCCTACCCTTCATCAGCTTACAATTTAGTTGGAGAGTTAAGGCAATTTAAGAGTGAAATCGATTCCATAATCATTAGCTGTCACAAGGCTGCCTGTGATTAACTTCCAAATGGGTAATCCAGTCAATGAAGGCTGAGCTCAAAGGCAAGAGACTTCATTGTGGACTGGGAAGACTTCATTTCTTAGTTGACTTCTCAGAAAGTTGCTTCCTTGCCTCCTGGTATTAGCCTTTTATTTTGTATTTTTGAATAAAAAAACATTTGTACATTCCTGATACTGGGTACAAGAGCCATGTACCAATGTGCTGCTTTCAACTTAAATCACTGAGGCATTTTTACTACTATTCTGTTAAAATCAGGATTTTAGTGCTTGCCACCACCTGATGAGAAGTTAAGTAGCCTTTCTGTGGAGAATGAGAATAAGTAGAGAAATATCCAATTATGTGACAACCTTTGTGTAATAAAAATTTGTTTAAAGTTAATTTTTTTTTTTTTTTTGAGACGGAGTCTTTGCTCTGTCGTCCAGGCTGGAGTGCAGTGGCGCCAACTCTGCTCATACAGTTCCGCCTTCCTGGGTTTTACCGCATTCTCCTGCCTCAGCCTCCGATAGCTGGGACTACAGCGCCGCACTCGGCCGGACTGGGTTTTTGTTATTTTCGTAGCGACGGGTTTACCGGTGTCCAGCCAGGATGGTCGCGTTCCTGACCTTGTGGATCCGCGCGGTCGTCGCTCCAACCGTGGCTGGGATTTACAGGGTGAAGCCACCGCGCGACCATTTTTTTCAAATTAGTTAGCCATGGTTAGGATGTGCTGTATGGTCCCCGCTATCAGGGGCAGGGGTGGGAGGAATCAATGAGCCAGGATGTCAGGCGCAGTGTGGCATAATCAGAGGGCCACTTTCAGCTCCGGGCCGGGGAACAGAAAAGGACTTGTTAAATAAAAAAAAAAAAAAAAAAAAAAGTTTGTCTTTAGCAATCTAAAATTTGGGACGAGTGCTTTGATCTCTAGCTTGCAGGTCAAGCCTGTCTAACCCACTGCAAAATTCTATACTTTCTTTCCCAGGATTTGCTAAAAGGAGGCAAACCGGTTTATCCCAGGGATGGCAGGTTCTCTTACTGTTATTTTTATTGTGCTCACTTCCCATCGAAGGTGGAAATACTTTAAGAGTGAAATTGTATTCTTTCAGTGGAATAAATCTGTGAGTTACTTAATGTTTAGGGCTGTTAATGATAATGAAGATGTAACGAGTGGAGGGTTGGCACTGCTTCTAGAGTGGCCAATTAGGAGCACGGCTCGTGATGGGTGGAACTGGTGAAGCAGGGTTCAAAGATAGCCTAAAAAGCCAGGCTGTGGTGGCTCAACACCTGTAATCCGCCAGCACTTGGGGAGGGCTGGGCAGCACGATAACTGAGGTCAGCAGGTCAAGACCAGCCTGGGTGGCCCAAACATGGTGAACCCATCTCTACTAAAGATACGAAAATTAGCCAGGCATAGTGATGTGCATCTTGTAATCCCAGCACTGGGGAGTGATGGCAGGAGTAGAGAATCGTTTGGCACCTGGAGGCAAGAGGCTCATTGAGTCCGGAGATGTGGCCGCTGCCACTCCAGCCTGGGCAACAGAGAGCAATATTTCTGGTCTCCATGGATGATTATGGATATATAGATATAAATTAAAAAATAGCTTATGGAAAAATTTCCAACATATTATTAGTCATTTATTCAAATTTGTAATGACTCTTGACTCCGGGTTTTTTTTATATGGCCTTCAGGTTTTAACTTTAGTTTTCAAGGTGAGAGTGGCTACCATTATTTATTTTGCTTTTCTTTACTCCATGATTTTTTTTTCTATTAATTCAGTGTCTCTTGGTGTTATCTGTGTATATCCTTGTATCTTTGGATAGGCTATTGCTAATTTTTGATGATTTCCTGATGCATATTGTGTTAGTTTTGTGTATTATCTATATTGTTTTCTTTTTTTATGAACAATTTAAGGAATTAGCCAGGCCTGGTGCGCAGTGGCCTGTGTCTTGCTATTGTGTCAGGTTTTTTTTTTTTTTTTTTTTTTTTTTTTGGGGTTATTTTGTATCTGCTTGTGTTTTTCTCAAGGTCTGAAACCAGAAAATAGGCAAATAATCATCCCCGCGTTGAAATGTAAAGGGAAAGTTCCCTGATGTTTAATGTGGCCATGCACATCACTGCCCGCCCTCGTTTTCCATTTTTCTTTTTTCCTTCCTATTCTTGGGGCATTTCACGGTTCCTCATTCTGTTCAGCCCGGGCTGGCAGGGCAGTGGCACGAATCTCAGCTCCATGACCGTTTCTGCCTCCTGGGTTCTCCACCTTTCTCCCTGTCTCGCAGCTCCCAAGTAGGCTGGGATTTACAGGTGCCCTGCCACCACGCCTGGGTACTTTTTGTATTTTAGTAGAAGGCCAGGACTTTCCTTACCCATGTCTACCAGCCCAGCGATGGTCTC